CTAAGATTCCAAATTTTTAAATGTATTCAATTCTTCCAGTTCTTCTGGGTTTGTTTTCTACTACCTACCCAAACCTCTATAAAAGTGAACACATCAACAAAAAAACCTCAGTCTCCCAAAGCACTGCTATGAGGAAAGACCTGCCAAGCTAACCTTACTTCTGTTGGACTCTCAGAGTTCCGAGCGCTCTGATCCTATTCCATATTCTCAGAATATCAAGCTTTGAAATAGTCAGAAGACTCTTGATCCTTACCCTCGCTACGGACAGACTTTTGACATGGCAGTAACTGCACATTAGAGCCTCCCTTCAAGCAGAGACCAGAACAGTATTAAAGACAAATCTCTACAGAGACCAGTCACTACACAGAGGCACTTCTAGATAAGGAAGCCCTCAAGCTGTAAGCATTTGGAGGACAGCAGAGAGAGTATTCAAGAAAAGTATTACATATACTTCACTTCCTCTCTTTATATCATCTCAGAATCTTCATTTTTGGCCACAGTAGGCTAGATGTGTCTTTTCTTGGAGTTACTCTTCTGAGTAGCCTTCGTTGTCAATCACTATTTCTGCTCTTTTGGTTTCTCAGTCTTTGCTTCTGTCTACTTTCTCCATTTTTACCTTGTCCTCTGTTTTCTCCTCCCATTTCTTTACCTCCTGTCATCTAACCCCTACCTCTGATCTCCTCTGTATTTTTGTCATCTGGATAATACTGATTTTTATATGCTGCAAGTTTATTTCAAACTTCAGGCAGAGCAATAGGACACATGTATTCACACTTCAAGGTCATTGTTTCAAATCCATCTGCAGACTCAAAGACAGTTGTACAGCTATTTCATTCAGATAGCATTTTCTTCAAAAGACTGAAATAATGTACTTCTCTTAAAAAAATGTTTGCATATATTACCTGGGATACAAAAATACAGTAGGCAAGGAAGCAGGCTATCAATCGTGTAGTTTACATCTTTGCTCTAGAGAAAGGAAACATCTCCAGGCAGCACGACTACGGAACAGCAGACATTCATTACTTCAATAAAGATACTGTACAGGTTAGCATATGCAACCTCTGCTAAATGGTGACAATCAAAAACCTGGCAGGGGGTGATGGAGGCAAGAAATAAAACAAGAATATGCCTTTCAGAGTGCAAGACCAGAGGGAAGGGACAAAGGAAAAAAAACTGTACAAGACTTTTTTCCCTTCCTTTATCTGAAAGGAACTCTCCACAAAAATTTCAGGGAGTTTACTCATTTTTAGGATGAAGGATTATACAGCAACAGATTTCTAAGCATTCCGTTCATGCAAAACTTGCTAACATCAACAGAAGGATCATGAGCAGCAAAGTGATGCCAAAAAAACAGAATCTCTTATTTCAGTTGTTGACATAAGTAGTATAGGAACAAACATACTACGATTTATTTCCTTACAAAGTCAACAAGTTTGACTTCTTTAACTTACTAGTATAGTCCTCTAGCTGTGTTTATATTACAACATTACTCTACACTCAGGCTTAAATGGCTTTCCTGGCAAAAAAAGGTTTTAGATTCGACGACAGATTTATTCTAAAAGCAAATTTCTTCTCTGTCTCTCCAGAGAGACTTCAGTAACAGTCTGGATAGCAACCAACATCTGTATAGTACTACTACTGGGTATTAATATACTAAATTCTCCCTACTATAATATTAGGTGATATTTAGACATTGACCTCTATAAAAGTGCTTTAAAAGGAACTATCAATTTGTATCAAAATAACTACTTATAGGCATAGACTGCCACCTAGTGATTTTTATTATCCACAGGAAACAAAACAAACAAAAAAAACACACCACAAACCCTCCCTCTTCCAGGAGAGGAGAAGGAAAAAAAAACCAAGCATTAATTCCTTCATATTTTACATCAGCTTACAGAAACAACCTCATATTGTATCACATGTATCTCCCATTATTATGTTGATCATAAATGCAGGAGGGGAATGGGGAAAGAAGAGTCAGCAAGTGTATGTAATCTTCCTTGTACAGGTAAGATCTATGAGGTTGCTTGTTTATCAATTTGGGTTCTCCTCAGCATTGTAACTATATTTTCAGTACGTCCTCTAGCTCATCTTTGCCATTTTCTCTTCGCCACTGCCTGTTTTCTACAGGACTTCACTATTAGTGAAGAAAGAAGCCAAGTTACCTGTGTTGCCTTATCTGCCTTACCAAGTTGAATTATCATCATGAGAATGACTCCTAAATTCATCTTATCTTCAGACTTCTTCTGTCTAAACTTGTATTTCAGATGTTGCCTTCAGTTACTCATGGGCACCTAATCAGCAGCATAAAGAACTCATATTTATTTTTCCTGTCATGCCTTCTCCACTCCTTTCTCTCTCAATCACTATCAACATCTCCAGTTCACTTCTCCCCTAGACCTAAATCTCAGAATCTGCAAGACAAATGGGTCTTAGGAAGATCCTTCTATAATGAATCTGTAAGACAAACTTTAAAAAAAAAAAGCAGGAAACCAGCAAAAAGCTTTTCAAATTTCTCCTCCTCTTCTAGCTAACACACTTTTCTTCTAGCAAATACAACTTTTGCAATGCTCGGAATCAATGTGAAGAGATATTTTCCCACCTTTTTAATTTGATCTCACCAGCACTTTATGTACCCACCCATTTTATTTTACAATCACATGAAACAACAGCCAGCACTACTTAGTTTTTCCTTATCATATCTATCTTGTTATTCACCATAAAGAGGCCATTACCCTTTTTGATCAAATGGCAATACTAGCTTTCATTAGCCCTTGTTCAACGTTTATATAAGTACTTCCGTAATTTCTTCTGTTGTCTCTCATGCTTTAAAGGAGTTCCTTTCAAATATTCCCAAAGTCATATCACATCTTCCTCAAAGATCTCTTTAAAAATCTTTGTTACACCCATAAAATAAATCTGATTCTAGCTAGGCTGTTGATACGCTGTGACTGTTGCTTATCACACCAACTAACACAGTGTAAATAGTTAACAGCACTCACCTCAACAGCACCCCCTGCCCCAGAGCACAGGGGCTATCACAGAGCCTTTGAACAGCACAAGCACTTTTGAATACACCATCAATAAAATGCTACTACAAGAATTAAATGTCTTTCCTTTATTCCAATATTATATGACTTTCTTGCATCAAAGAAAACCAACAAGTGACCCTCAAAGCAACACCCTAACAAATACAAAGTTTGCTTCTTTTGTTTTTTACAGTGGAGATGTCCACTAAAAAACAAGAAGATTGCTTATGGAGCCACCTGCTCCTGTTGCTTTATTTCCCAAATGAAGTCTTCTGTTGCCCATGTTTCCAACAACCAGCTGCTGTCTCACAAGCTTCATTTTCACATGAAGTCTAGTAGAGTTAACATATCACACCAGAGTTAGAGTTGTATAACTCAACCTCGACATGCAGCACTAAAGATCATTGCTAATAGAAGTCCTATCCAAACTATTTAATACTACCAGATAAACCAGAGAGTGAGAAAACATCCACACAATTGAAGCAGAGAAACAAGACAACAAAATATGGTTATCTTTCTAAAACTTCTTAAAAGTACAGTCTTTCTCCTCTCTTTTGGTTCACTCCAAAAAAGTGGATCTTGGTGATCTCCAAGATGGCAATAACTTATCTCCTCCAGATGAGGAAAATGAAATAGGTTTAATCACTAGCTGCAAGCAGTCCCAGTCATCTTTGTGCCTTGAAGAAAGTAAGCTGCTGGAACTTAACATTTTGTAGCCTCTTCTTCTGTTTAATAGCTCACTGGGGGAGACAGCGACTGCCAAATCAAAAGCTATCAGGTTACTGTATCCACAATCACTTTCCAAGCCCTGTAAACTGCTATGTACTACACAGCACATCATACATGACACACTGATTCTTTTTATAGCATTCCAGCGAGAGTACTTCTCATAGCAAAACAAGTACTTAATGAAACCACACCAAATGGATAACTAAAGAAGAAACTTCATTGGAAGAACAGTGAAGGACTTTGAAAAGTCCTCTAGATTTGCCAACCACATATCACTAACTAGGTGGTTAAAGTCTACCCATCAAGAACTGTGAATATGACATTCATATGCTTGTGCAACAACATATGGTCTGAAAGAAAGTCTTTTCCTTCCCTCCACCTTTCTTAGAAGCCACTGATACTCAGCTGTAGGAGATTGCCCCCCAGAAATAGTGGAACTAAATTTCTTCCAAAATGAACAAAATATAAGGATTAACTTAAATCACAGATCACATAAGAAATTTTTTAAAGAAATTCCCTATTTAAAACTTAAAAAGTAAGTTTTCAACAAAAACTAAAAAGTCCCTGCAAGTAACCACTTTTTTCTCTTCCATTGAACTCACCTCAACTCTCTCAAGTACGAGATGATTAAGTACCATCTTATTTTTCATACACTTTTGCAAACCTGTTTTTCCTATCTAGTGATAAAGGCTACTTCTAAGATTTTTTCAGACACAACAAGTAAATCCCAAACAAATAAACAAATCACATTCCAGATGAAGCACAAGCATAGCTATACCACATCATTTCTATACTGGCTTTCCAGGCCATGCTGGAAAATACTATACTTAATAAAAAGTTTAAATCCATTTTAATGTAATTCCTTCATGGTTCTTGACAGATAGGACGAAAAAGCATCACCATGTATTCTTGCTAAGAGGCTTTAATTTGATTACAGTAATTAAATAGGGCCACAATGATAAGTATCTGGTCCAACTGCAGTTTAAAAAATGAAGTTATATTGATAAAGTTAGCTGAAGAAACAGAAGATTCTTGAAATTATTTCAGCAAGTTTCAGAAGCTTACATAACTGGTTACACATTCAAAACTTTTTCTCTTTCCAAGGATAGAAAGGAAAACAGACGCCCATTTACAAGGCTTCTCTCCCACATGTTCTTCTCTTCTCCTACAAACCATAGGGGGTATAAAAGAACAGAGATGCAAATATGAAAATAACGTCAGAATTAAAAGTTAACTTACCATATTTGTCTCGCAAGCCAACTGTACACCTGAAGACTCCACCAAAGGCCACATCTTCACCAAATACTACTGAAAAATAAGAAGAGGAGGCTAATATTACCCCAATGCATCTTCTTTTTAATGAACGTGTTTCAAAGCTTTTTATATCAGACACTAACATAATAACTTGATGTCCAAGTGGAGACCAGTGACGAGTGGTGCTCCTCAGGGTTGGTATTGGGACCGGTGCTGTTTAACATCTTTGTCAGGGACATGGACAGTGGGATGGAGCGCACCCTCAGCAAGTTTGCCGACAACACCAAGCTGTGCGGTGTGGTCAACAGGTTGGAGGGAAGGGATGCCATCCAGAGGGACCTGGACAGGCTGGAGAGGTGGGCCTAGTAGGTTGGAACTAGGTGGTCTTTAAGGTCCCTTCCAACCAAACCGTTCTATGATAAGTAGTACCTAACATTTCATTTTACTTCAAGATTTATCTAGACCTAAGCGTTTCTCATGCACAGCCTAACTATAATAAATAAAGAATGAAGGTTAATGAGGAATCAGTACAGCAACACAACTACATCTCAAAACAGAACTCATGATTCAGCTATGCTTTCATTAAACCATTAATTTATTTTTCTGAAATATTCTATAAGATCACAATATCTAAATCTAAATGAATAAAAGCAATTCCAAGAAACCATTACGTTCAATCACTGAAGAGTCACCGAAGTTATGTGTTGTACTTCAACTGGTAACCATGTGCATTCTTCATCCACAGATTTCAGTAAATGTAGTATTTTGAAAAATGCCAAATTGAAGTTTTCTTCAAAATATCAATCCAACATGAAATTTTAAACCTTCTCCAAACATTTGCCAGATCCCTGAAAAGTCACTTCAGAGGAGCTCCTCTACAGAAAAGATGGATATCTAATAACCAGGACAACTCTCAGTATTCAACACTACTATCCTTATAGTGTGGGTGACGTAGTCAATAAAATTTTATCACTAAAAGTAACTGCCCTTAAAATTTAGCTTCGTATCAACTAATCTTGGGGCTTTTTTCTTTGAATTTATGGAATGATAATGTCTATTTTTTCTTAAAATATTTTAGTTATTTAATTCACAGAAATAAGTATTGCCCATTTCAATTTTTTTAAGCATGTAAGAGATGTGCAGTAGTACCACCAATCGCGGCTTGCATGAACTGGGGTCAGTTCTGATAATTCCCGAATTCCTCAATACTCTCCATATTCTAAAGGACATAAAATAATAAGTTAGTGTCCTTACCTTTCAAATATTATTTTTATTTAAATAAAATACAGTCCTGATTGGAAACACTAAAGGGGGATTAACACACATTAATGACACCACTTAAAGAAAAATAACTTGTATAATGATGCAAAATCAATGCAATCATGGAGTATATGATTAAAGTATGTCCCTAGATCATCTCTCTAATTCATTTTTAATACTAATTTGTTTGGGGTTTTTATGTACTTAAAATCTTTGTAAGGCCTTTTCATTACCATATGGCTACTCACTTTTGAGCCAGCTGGCATAAAAATAATCTTATTTAATGCTGGTATCAGCAAACTTGCGTGGATTTACTCATTCTGTTCAGCCACTGAAAATATTTTCCTGGACAGATTCTAATTCTCACCAACACAAGTATGAAGATTTCCACTACTTAAACAACAGTTGCTCAATTCCCATACAACTAAAAACATATGAAGGACATGCTTTCTGCTGCAAGAAGTACTAATTAGTTCAGTACGTAGGGTGATATTGACAACTCGCATGTCTGGAGTGTAGAACTCCAACACGGTCTCGCAAAAGGCTTTGCAAAGATCCAGCCCTGCAAAGCTGAGGAGCAAGACAAACCTTTGAGAGATTAAAAGGCTGAAGACGATATACTGGTCATGCTGCTGGACTAACATTCTACTTACTTTTATATGGCTGATTCTACAGAAACGGTACTAAAATCTGTTCTTGGCACTAATTTACTCTCAGTTGTCTAAGTTTAATTTTATAAAGGTCATTATAACACAGCTGTAGATTGAGAGGGAATGTATACAGGCACAGTACTGGAAAGACAACATGGAATTTGTCCTAACAGATTAGACGATTAGTCAGACTTCAGGTTGAGCAGTGGTTCAAGTAGTGCCAAAAAGAGTTACTAATACACTAAAAAGAAAAACCAAAATTACAGAAGATTATACAGCTTTTGCAGCTGTGTTCATAACATTAAACATATCTTTCAGTTATCTGGCCATCATCACGCTTTCGTTATGACAACAGAAGCGGCAGACCTCCTGTTATGTATTAGAATTAAAGTAAACAGTTTCGTGCAAAAGAGTTTGGGATAACCCTTTTAAATCAAGCTATGATGAACTAGCATCTTCAAAGTTACAGATTATCCAGACTGCAAAAGCCTAGAAAAATCTTACATTGCCTATGCACAACAATGAACGGAAACCAGCAAAGCTAGAGAGGAATTTCGGAAGGCAAGGAAGGAGAAAAGGGTGAACAGACAGCGAGAGAACATACAGTCTCTAAAAAATGCCATTTTTTGAGCATAGAGAGTTGAAGGAATTGAAAAGTAAGATTTACATTTTAAAAACTCCTTTTCTTACTGGTGTGACCCAAGCTGCCCTTAAGTACAATTCACACCACTAATACCAGAAGCATGTTAAGCAATGTATCATCTTTCTGTCCCAACTTTCAAGAGAAATACACCCAGTTAATACAAAAGACACAACTGCATCTTAGATCACATAATCCATTAATAATCTGTTAATACAACACATTTTTAAGCTTTGTTTGACATCAAAGTGTAGAAATAACTTATTAGAAAACTTTAAAGGCCACCAGAAATGCATTTAACATTATACACAAATAGGCAAAACAAAATGCAAATTACACAAAGCAAGCCACACTAACAAGTATAGCATACCTGCAGTCGGATCTTTGGCTAAAGCATTGTCCAAGGCACTTGTTATGGACTGGAAGAGATTCATCTTCTGAGTTTGCCCTGTGTGAAAGTGATTATTTAGCCATTTCATTTGGTTCAAAAGACAAAGTGCATTAGAAAATAATGGTGCAAAACATGACTAAAAACTCAGTTAACAGTCATAAACAAGATCCCTCTTAGGAGTACCTAAGAGTCATTTGCTGAGTAAATGTAAATTATGGGATAGACAGGATTGAGCATGGCGTACTTTGCAATCCCAAGGACTATAATTCTACTACCTTGCATCCAACATTATTTCAAAAACTATGCTCTTAGCTAGAGCAAATACAGCTTTGCAACGCTTAGTCAAACACTAGGAACAATGACTAATACAACAGTTTTTCAAAGGAAGAAACCATAGTAAAGCATTATTTTTTTGAGAATTGAGATCCCTTCTGCTAAGATTCACCAGATCTCATTAAGCATACTTCATCATTCTTTAATTTTTTTAAAGCTCCAGCCTTTCATGTTTACAGCCACCTATTATTATCAGAAGTTTTCTAGACTACCAGCCTGCTCTCTGAACCGCAGTCAGAAGGCGTCAGAAGCATCAAATCCACTCTAAAGAAAGAAAACTTGATGCTGAACAGTTACACTTAAAATGGGTAAAACAAATGCACCAGACTGCTGTATTAAAATCTTCTGCAGTGCAGATTGAAAGAAAACCTTCAAAACCAAGAAAGGCTACCTGAGTGCCCTTCATTCCAGTGCTGCAAGGAAAAATAAATACGCCTGAAAGCAAAGATGGAACAAAACAATAGCCCAGTCCCCACTACTGTGACCAACTCAGATTCTCCAAGCAAATAAGATAATGCCTTACTAGAAACTGAGTGAATAAGAAATTGCCTAGCTGACATTTGGTAGCTCTTTAACCAACAAAACCTCTAAGTCATGACTAGGAGCTACAGCCCAGAATACTACCTACCAGCACACATAGCATGTGCCAAAAAAAAAAGTGATGGTTAGGTGAAGATCCCAGATAAACATGAGAACAGGTGTTAGAAATCAGAAAGAACAACTACATTCTGTTTTCAGTAGCTACACTCGCTCTCAACAAACATACAGCTTCCCTTCCTCCTAAATTGTTAATGTTAGCATTTTTTTGTTAAAGACTCATGTCATGCCACACCAGAGCTGAGCAGCTGCATTTCTACATGTTCCTGTGCTTGGTAGTTTCACTTGTTACACTTTTCATGGCCCTTTAAGAGTAAACAGTAAAAACAACTGTTATGGGAACAGTTCAAATTATATGAAAGCGACAAATAATCAATATTTACAAATTCAAGGGAAGGAAAGCTGGGGAACAGCAGTTGTTTCTCTCTTTCCCAAGTCATTCACATTAGTATTTAGGTTATCTTTTCCACAAGACACAACCCTTCCAGTATTTGATATAAATAAATGCCTATTATTTCAGCAACTGTCAGAAACTCCTCACACTGACTGTTCTGACCTGCTGCTCTTGCTTATAATAAAGGCCCCTGTATCAGCCCTAGCCAGAAAGGAGAAACTAAGTGTGCCCTTCACTTTGAACTGTGGAGTTGGAGAAGCATTATCTTAATATCAGGATCAGCATAACTTTATTTTACTTTCACTATTTTTCACAGAATTTCAAAGTGTACTTTAAATCAAAGAGAAGTAGTTTTCTATTAATAAATGGCAACAAAAACTGGCCTGCCCCGCTACAGCTTCTTCACCATGACCCCAAGCAGGGGCCAGCAGCACACAGGCTTTACTCTGAGACACCCAGGATGCCAATACCCCCCAACCACTAACGGGAACGGCCAAGAGTTTGGTTGGACTTAATAATCAAGCTGGAACACCAAGGTATCCAACTAAGTGAAACCTTTCTAGAACATAGTGCAGTTCATGTGAGAGAAACAGGTATTCTGCAGCTGGCAACTTTCCTCCTGAGCTGTTCATTTCCAACTGATCTGTGTTTTAATCGTGTGATCACAAGGATTACCTCAAACCTTTCACTAGACAGCAGTCTTTATTAATCACAGGTTTATTAATCACCACATTCATGACTTAAGCATGCAACAAAAAAAATTAGGGATGGAGGTCAGTCATTAAGTTACTGCTAGAAGCTTTACCACTGAAAGAGGAGAGAGGCAGGGGAAGGGCTTGCAGGTCTGAGCAGATGATGGGTAGGCCTATTGCAAGTATCGCACTGACCGCCCAAAAACACCTCACCAACCCCCCCGAAC